TGAATCCTCACCCGTGATTCCTTGAGTAATTGTCTTAGTTTTATTTACCCTTTGAGATTTTATTTGAAGCTACGAAACCCAACGTAACAACGACTTCAACTTTTTTTGGCTAAAATTTAAAAGGTGACCCGGTCGGGTGACGTGAACCGAAAATGCTAATGTGCGTGGCTTTAAGAGCTTTTCAATGATGTATTATTCCAAAATTTCCAGTAATCACGAAATTTATAATATTTATAGTAACATTATTCTACTTCACTTATTATAAATTTTATCCCTCCACTCTTTTATCTTTTCACTTTATTACTTTGTTTTAATAGAATATAATTAATTAAAGGTGTCAATAGTAGTGATAAATTATTTAAAGGAAAGTAACTCTTGTTATTAGTAATCTTGATTCTGGTGATAATTTCTTCGATACGTTAAAGTGTTATGATTTGTAAGTCTTTTTTTTTCCTATTAAATTCGTTCGGGTGTTTTTATTGTGGTGGGTAAAACGATTGGAAAAATGAGTTAATCTGATTTACTTTGAAGCTGATTTCATGGGAATTAGTTGCCGAAAAAATAGAATTTCAGTTTTATCCGAATAGAGTTATTTAACCCTGATCACTTTCAAATGAATAAAATGATGGTATCAACATAAAAATCACAGTTAAACTCTGGCATAATATATCTTTTTTTTTGAAAATGTATTAATAATTCTCCATGTGTTCCTATTTATATATTTAGTATTATTGATTCTCTTTTAAAATATAATATATACTTAAAAAGTTATGAATTTCAGATACAGACGCGTCGTGCAGATCTTCTAGACAATTTAATTTTTTTTTTTAAAAAAAAAAAAGGAGATAGGAATTAGATTTTACGAAATCGGGCTTATAAATTTGATCATAAAAAATATTATTGGAAAATGAGCATCAAATAACATCAAATGCACCTTGTAATGTGATGGGATATCAACAACTTGAATAAGATGCAGACGTCATATTCAAGTCCTTAATGAAAAATAAGCGCGCCTACTACCATATCCGACGACACACGGTCCGATAAAAAGTACAATAGCAGTTGCATCAACAAGCATCAATCTTGATACACGACTGTCTCCACCGGATTTGATGATTAGGAGAGAATTGGTGCAAAGAGAATATTTGTAAAATTACCCAAATCAAATAAACTAATTAAAAGTATTATTCTTAAAACTCTTGAAAGTTTAATTTTCCTAATAACTTACTTTAGAAGCTAATGATAACATGTTCGAGAGACCATGAGCCAATAATGTATGAAATGCAATAAAAAAAAAATAAATAAATAAATTTTAATCTTTGATTGGAGCACTACTGAAAAAGCTATCGCAAACCTTGTCGGCACAGACACAATAAGGTAGATTTACTCCACAAGCTTCCTTCCTTAAAGTGAAGGCTAATACCCTGTTGAACCTTTAAATAAAAAAAAAATTAAATTAATAAATTAATAAAAATAAAAAAGAATGTACATATATAACTTCTTTGTTCTAAAATCTAAAAAACTGCTTTAGCAACGAACCGTATCTTGATTGCGTGTCACAAAAAACAAAATAATTGATCGTTATTTCTAAAATCTAGGATCCCAGCAAGCGTGGTTGCAAGCTCTAGTTCTCCCTCTACACGATTCTATATAAACAAGCCGTCCTTATAAAGAAGAAATTATGTAATATATCATAAAAATAACAAAGCAATATCAATAAAAGTTCACCTAGATCAAATCAATAATAAAGTCATCCACAATTCGCCTTATTTTCAACTTAGTTAAATGAAACCCGAGAATTATTATATTAAACTATAAAGAGTTTTTTTTTTAAATCCATTGCTTGGAACGTTCCCCGTGTAAGACCTGCAATCCCACCGAGAATTACCACTCTAGATCTTTTAACAGATATAACTACCCAACAGACCCAGGAGATGTTGCGTGGCTACTAACGGTCGACAGATTAGAGGTGCAATGGGTGCAAAAAATATAAACGACAGTAGAAATTTTTTAACTTTTTGGTACGACTTAATTTAACTCGATTTGGATTATCAATCAACCTAATCAGACGTGATGCAACAACAAATTCTCGCGTAATATCAATTTTTCGATAAAAGTATAAATGTCCTTACGGACAAAAAAAAAATTTTTTATTTTTAAATATGTCAAATCTAGTAATTGATTCCAACGTCAGAACATATCGCTTTAAACGCAAGAAATATCCTTTCTTCATGAACACAGATGCCTCAATTTGGTCATTTCAACGTTTTATTCTACTATCATTCACTCTGGAGACGCACCAAAAAAATTCAATGAAATTCATGACAATTGGACCGCCAGCCTGAAATTTATTAAAAATGTCCCAGAGCCAATTGTGAACTTAGTGAGAGAGCTAATTGAATTCAACAGCTCTAAGGAATTTAAGAGTTTACGGGACGTCTATGCAACAATTTCTAGCGGGTCAATAACAAAGAGCACAAAGGTTATATGATGCAGACGAATGAAATCTTGAACGGTACATTAGGAAAGCAAGGCAAGAAAAATGAGGAAGACGAGGATGCAATGCAGGAAAATTTTAATATCGTATGTACGGTTGTTAAGTATAATCTAACTTTTTAATCATCATATTTATTATGTTTCTTTGGAAGGACTCTAATCAAATGCATAGTGATGATGAATTTACGGAACGAAGTCCAACACGCAAAAATAATCTAAAAGGAAACTAGGAAATGACAAATTACCAGGTTACGATGGACTAGTATTTCTATTTAATGATTCGAATGAAGATACAATTATAGAGAAAATACACTTGAAGATGAAATAAAATTGCCGCAAGCGAGTGATAATAAGGTAAGGTCTTAATATTTTCGTCTGTGGCATACATTATATTCAGTAAACACATTTTCTATCCTCGATAGGATCAACTTATAATTATATGTGATGACATTTTGAATGCATTCCAAACATATCAAAATAAGTCCCTAAAATTCGCAGTTTTCACGTGAGTTTGGTGTCTCTTTATGATAAAGAATTGATTACTAATACATTTCTTTATTTTTAATGTCTCGATATATGAGTGTATGAGTCCTTATCATGAATCATGAATAGTTTCGAGCCTTAATTTTAAACATTACAAATTTAATAATGATTCACAACTTCAAGTCACGTGACCGTTACGAAAGAACCGTACTGAGGATCGGATCTTCGCTATGAAAGAATTCAAAAAATTCATCATGTTTAACAAAATAAATTTTTTATTGCCAAGAAAGTTTATGAGAAATAGATAAGGAGTATGAAGAACAGATTGAAAAAAACAAAGGTTACAATTGTAAAAGCGGAGAGATAATTTACAACTAGCTATGAAGCCAAATTTTAATTAGAGATATTCTAACATCTCAATTTCTTTTTCTAGATGGTAACGAGTAAATTATTATTAAGTAATTACAGAAATTACACAATTATTGGTACTTTCTTGTTCTATTAAGTTTGTTTTTGACACATAAAAAAGAGAATAATGAATTTTAATTGGCGTTAAAACTTTTTTTTAAAAAAAAAAATAATGAGAGAATAAATATATATATTTATTTAATGAAAATTAGTAATTAAATATGTTAGATATGTTAGGATATTTATATATATATATTTTTTTAATAATAATATACAGTATGTACATTTAAATATTATATATACAAAATCAACTTAGAAAAATTATTTAGTAATTTTAATTTTATTATTATTTTTTGATTGTATAAATTACAAATAACTTTCTAATAATATATATTTAATTAAACTTGACAAAAAACTTTAAAATTTACAAAAACTTTTTTTTTATTTTTATACATATTATATATTAATTATATTTTATATAAATTTATTTATTTTAACAATCATACATAGTGTTTTTTACCAATATAAAAATTTTTATTATTTTATAATTTAATTTATTTATACAAATTTTATTTTTTAACTTTATACTATTTTTACTATTTTACCAACATCGACCGATCCACCACCACTTTAACTACCACTTTGACCATTTATTTATAATCGGACCGTTCTTCCAAAATTCTTTTTCTAAGATAAAGTCCTATAACAAAATAAATAATAAAGACAAATTTAGTATTTCTACTAAGTAGAGAGAAAAATAGAGAACACACAACCACTCGAATTCAAATTACAATAAATTTTGTGCTAGGCAATTAGTAAGAGACCAGACTACTGAATCCATTACATAAATTTTTTGCTAGACAGCAAGTAGGAAGTCTCGTATGCGGTGCCCTATCCTTCAAAGAACATTAGGGTAGAGTACATTGTTTAACCCCGCATAATACAGACTGGTTGAAACTACTTTAGCCAAGAAGCCCTATATGCAACTTCATCAATGACAGAGCCTAATACCTCATGTCCAAGAAGCCCTATATTGTAAAACTTCATCGAATGACTGTGCATAAAGTGTAAGAATCAACCCTACCTCTTCAATCAGGACTTCGGAATGGAAGCTGACCACCGTTTGATCCTAATTATTTATTATAAATAACAAATCGATTTAGTATTTCTACTAAGTAAACGAAAGAGGGAGAACACGAACACTC